GACCATATCTTTATTTTCAAGAAGTGATTTAATAGCCTTACCTGAGGAAGAAGTAGAAGGGTGTTTAACCGATATGTTATCCAGATCTTTTAAAACCATTTATTTAAAAAGGCCCACTTATGAGTGTGCCTGCGGTGGTGGATTATAAGTAGAGGCATTACACAGATTGGAGTAAGTGGAGTTATCAGTATTATTATGCACAATAGGATTGTTAAAAAAAATCTCTTTAGTGATAATTGTCTGTCAAATTTAAGGACATCCATATAAGCTTGGAACTTATTCAGTTTCTTTTTTGAGGCATATTTGAGGCCTTTATCCAAAAGATTCAACTCTTGCTGAGTAAGTTCTTCTCTTTTTCATTACGTCCATTGGCTCTCTTTCCTCTTTCCCCTATGGTATCGCTTCATTTGCGAATTCTTCCCTCCCCTAAAAAACAGACCTGTGTACCCTTTCCGTTCTGTTGATGTTGGTTATTAGCCGTCCCTAATATTGTTGGGGGAGTGCTGGGGTCTTGAAATTAGGGTTTATTTTGCAGGCCCCTCCAATGGGGTCTCCATTGGGGCCTATTGAGGATTGGTATGGGACCCCTCTATTATTCCGAGGTGAGGAATATAGTGGGCATAACGTAGAGGTTGATGTTAATTGTTTTATTGATAACAGTTAGAGATAATGATTTTTATAGTTTTTATAGCATTTATTTAAATTTTTATTAACCCCACTATCGTGGGAATGTATCATAATTTTTTTATTTTTATTCTTTAGTGGGCATATATTTAGTTTTATCTTCTTTTATATGGTATTCAGCCCTTTTTGATTCTATATTTATCTGTCACATATCCAGATCCGGTCTTTTCTTTGTTTATAATTATTAATTTCTTTCTGATTTGCTAATGGATTTTAATTTACTGTTTTTACTCTGTAATTTCCCCCCCTTTTTTAATAATTTTGGGGATTACATTGTTGGATTTATTCTGCTGTGTTATTGGATTATTTTGCCATGGATTTACTTATGACATTTTTTATATAACACACACCTCAATTTTTACTCTTAATATAATTAATTTTTAATTTTTATATATCCATTTGGGGTTTTTTTTTGCCTAAATTGACCTTATAGGCTACAGTCGGGTTCTAGTAAGATGGTTTTGATCTTTATCATCGGTTATATGTATACCTGATATATCTACAGTTGCAAGAAAAAGTATGTGAACCCCTTGGGATTACGTGGAGTTTTGCATGAATTGGGCATAAAATGTGCTCTGAACATCATCTAAGTCACAACAATAGAAGAACACAGTCTGCTGAACATAATACTACACAAACATTAGATGTTGCCATGGTTTAATTGCACATAACATGTAAACATTCACAGTGCAGGGAGGAAAAAGTATGTGAACCTTTGGACTTAATAACTGGTTGACCCTCCTTTGGCAGCAATAACCTCAACCAAACGTTTCCTGTAGTTGCAGATCAGACCTGCACAACGATCTGGAGTAATTTTGGACCACTCCTCTTTACAAAACTGTTTCAGTGTAGCAATATTCTTGAGATGTCTGGTGTGAATCGCTCTCTTAAGGTCATGCCACAACATTTCAATCGGGTTGAGGTCAGGACTCTGACTGGGCCACTCCAGAAGGCGCATTTTGTGCTGTTGCAGCCATTGTTTTGTTGAATTACTTGTATGCTTTGGGTCATTGTCCTGTTGCATCACCCATCCTCTGCGGAGCTTCAGTTGGCAGACAGATGGTCGTACGTTTTCCTGTAAAATGTCTTGATAAACTCTGGAATTCATTTTCCCATCAATGACAACAATCCATCCAGGCCCTGAGGCAGCAAAGCAGCCCCAAACCATGATGCTCCCTCCGCCATGTTTTACAGTGGGGATGAGGTTTTGATGTTTTGACGTGCTGTGCCTTTTTTTCTCCACACATAGTGTTGTGTGTTCTTCCCAAACAACTCAATCTTGGTTTCATCTGTCCACAGTATATTTTGCCAGTAGTGCTGTGGAACATCCAGGTGCTCTTTTGCAAACTTCAAACGTGCTGCAATATTCTTTTTGGACAGCAATGGCTTCCTCCGTGGTGTCCTCCCATGTACTCCATTCTCGTTTAATGTTTTCCTTATTGTAGATGTGTCAACAAAAATGTTAGCATGTGTCAGAGATTTCTTTAGCTGACACTCTGGGATTCTTCTTTACCTCATGCAGCATTCTGCGCTGTGCTCTTGCAGTCATTTTTACAGGACGACCACGTCTAGGGAGAGTAGCAACAGTGCTAAACTTTCTCCATTTGTAGACAGTCTGTCTTACCGTGGACACATGAACATCAAGGCTTTTGGAGATACTTTTGTAACCCCTTCCAGCTTCATGCAAGTCAACAATTCTTGATCGTAGGTCTTCTGAGAGCTCTTTTCTGCGAGGCATGGTTCACATCAGACAGTGCTTCTTGAAACCAGTAAACCCAAAACAGGTGTGTGTTTTTTAAGGGCAGGACAGCTGTCAGCAACACATCCAATATCATCACACTGATTGGAGTCAAGGTTGGCTCACTCCTGGCTCCTCTTAGCTCTGGGAGAAGTCATTAAGCTAGGGCCTCACATACTTTTTCTTCCCTGCACTGTGAATGTTTACATGTTATGTGCAATTAAACCATGGCAACATCTAATGTTTGTGTAGTATTATGTTCAGCAGACTGTGTGCTTCTATTGTTGTGACTTAGATGATGTTCAGAGCACATTTTATGCCCAATTCATGCAAACCTCCACGTAATCCCAAAGGGTTCACATACTTTTTCTTGCAACTGTATGTAACATGAGTTTGAGCCCCCGGGTCACACTATTTTAATATGAACTTGCGGGGTTTGCATGTGTTTTTTATATACTTATTTTCCATCTCGCTAAGCCTTTTTTGATTATTACCCTGATGTTTCCCCTGTAATTTGGCTGATCTTAATTGATTTTTGCCTCTTCTGTTTACTAAGCTCCTAGTCCAAAAATATCCATGGCAAAATGGCGCCTGCACATGCGCGCGTGCACATTTTGCCCTTCACCAAAATGGCGCCAGCATAACGTGCATGTGCCATCTTCCATATAAATATAGACGGCACACATCATGGCAGCATTGGCTTCCCCTCTGAGGACATGTGTGGCACGAAACGCGCAAGGAGGAGCCAATTACGCTGTGACGTCACGCCGCCGGAGCCTCGTGAAGGTCCGGCGGCCATCTTAATTCTTGGATGGTTAGTCCTGTTTGTTTTATCACCAATGCATTGTTTTTAACCCATTCTTTTGGATTATATATCTTGGAATAAATATATTTTTAAACCTTAAGCACATATTGTCACCTTATGAACTTTTATTATATATTGTCACTTTATGAACTTTTAATATTTTTTATCGCATTAATTTTTTCATATTACTGGGTCATTTTAACTACCACTTTTCTGATCATTTTAGTGCTGCACTTTGATTTTTGAGCTTTTTAAGGTTTTATCTGGTTACCTTTTGTGCATAGCTGCTTTCACCAAGAGCGCTCACTGATTTATGTCCCTTACCTGTCAAAGCCAGGTACCCGCTACCCCCTCCTTCCCACAAAGTGCCAAATGTGGCAGTGCAGGGTGGTGGGAAGGAGGAAGACATGCGGATCTTCCCCTTTTGGGTGGAACTCTACTTTAAAGTGGATATGAACCTCAGACATGAAATATGAACAAAGTATATCTCTCTTTAATGTGTACTTGTCTCTGTTAAGAGCATTAAGTGTCATTTCTGTCTGCTGCTTTGTTCTTCTGCTATGTGACAAATTTTTCTGATACCAAGAGAAAAGTGGTGATGGGGGGACGGAGGTCCTGCAGATTGACAGCCTCAGCTCTATTCCAGTGTGCTGTGTGAAGAGGGTTGTGTCTCTTCCTGCCAATCAGCTCTCAGAACTCTGCTCACTGAGCTCTCCATCCCCTTTTTTCTGAACTCTTTCACAAGCTTTATAAATTCTGAAATTTGAACATACGTAGAGAAGAGAAGGCTACAGATAAACAGGTACAACTTATGTAAGAGGATTAGTTTCATCTCTATGTATCACCTTAGGCTAGTCACTTCACTGGGCATATGAGGGTTTACAACCACTTTAAAGTGGAACTTCACCTTAAAAGGGAGGTTTTGACAGGTACCCACTTCCACTTCTGGTCTGATTGCTGTGGCAATCCACCTGAGGTTCTTCCCTCCCCACAATTTCCTGGGACACATCACAGGTTCCAGAAGGCTGTGAGAGCATTCACAAAGTACAGTGTGGCAGCAAGTATGGGGTTTAAAAAACAAACAAACAGGCTAGATTCACACTGTGACAAGTGGATGTAGGAATCACAGCTGTTCCCGCACCACAGCAAAAATGTGCTGCTCTGTAGAGATGCACAGGGCTGGCATTCATTCTTAATGAAACTGCCCTGCATCTCAACCTGGAGCATGTTTGTGGGTAGGGGAACTGCAGGGAAATCGCATGGTGCAAAAGCGCTTGCACAGCAGCCCACAAACCCAGTGTAATGTGAAACTAGCCTTATAGTCACCTAGGTGGATTCAGCATCACTCCAATGTTGCATCTGTCCCCTCTGCTTCTAAGACTGAGAACTGAGTGATCAAAGACTGCTGATCTTTCAGTTCTTGGTCTTCAGTGAGCACAGAGCAGGGACTGTCAGTCTCAGGCTCTCTGCTCTGCCTCTCCAGCGCTCACCAGAGTGCTGGGCTGTGGAGGGGGGGGAGTGGCTGGCTCTCAAGTTCTCAGTGGCTCACTGAGAGCCTGAGCCAACTGCTGGTCCAGACTTCTGGGTGGATCATGATCGTGTGGTCTGAATCTTTTCAAAGCCAGCATTGGTTGTGTGACGCCAGGCGGCAGCAGGCTTTAGCCCCATAGAGAGACCTGATATTGGCTATAGCAACTGGTCCAGCTATAAGAGTTCTTTGTATGTTTTACATGAACATGCTCAAGTCTTTGATTACATCAATTTGTTTTTCAGGCGTACGTTACATACTTACTAATCGTATGCTCAAGTGTGACGTTTTTCATGGAGAAGAAACAAGCCATCTCTTATCATATTCAGAATAAAGGTAATGTGTTACAAATTGAAAAGGAAAAAAAAAAGTACCTAATCATTCATTACATGTATTTATATAGAGCCAACAATTTTCGCAGTACTTTACATATTGCACATTTGTATCATTCCCGAAGCTGAAGGGTCTTACAACCTGTAGTCCCCATGTCATGTTCATACATATCACGGGCCAAGTTTAGACAGGAGCAGATTAACCTTCCAGTATGTCTTTGGAGTGCGGAAGGAAATCGGAGTACCTGGAAGAAATACACACAAGCACAGGAAGATGATGTAAACTCCATGTAAATAGTGATCTGGTCAGGATTCAAATCAACGACCCCTGCACTTCAAGGGCAGAAGTGCTGATTGCTATGCCAGTGGGCAGTCTGTCACCCTTTATATTTGGTCTGCTGAACATTCCCACAGAGAAAGAAATGCATAGGATAGACAAAACGTTACAGTTCTCATGAGAGCAGAGGTTTAGGGGAAATCGTCCTGCAGTAACTGTATAAGAGGAGGAATCCTCGTACAGATTCCTCTCACAGGAAGTGAAGGAAAAGTCTCCCCAATGAGACAGACATAAAAAAATACGAGGTGGTAATTTTCAAGACTTCTTTTGTAACACGCAGAATTTCACATTTGCTCTTTTCTCTAACTTGCTGTCCATGATGAAATAGCAGACGTGGTACTGCATGTGGTCAGAATAGCACCAGTTTGCAGAGCTCCCAATGTCCACAGGATGATGTCTATTGTCACACTGACGTATGAAGGTCGGTGCTCCCTGTGACTGTGCGTGCAGCCTTGTACTGCAATCTGTTGGCGGTTTAAAAAATTAGTCTCAAAACTTTTTTGATACCCGTTTGTACATTGGGGGGGATTTAATAGCGCTGCTGCACCAGTTTTCTGGTGTTAATTGTTGATGTTAATGTGGTCAAGAATCATCAATTTTGGTTCTGACAGCGGCTTGTGCGCCAAATTCAGGTAGTTCTAATTTGAGCCAGTTCCACATTGTGGAACAACACTTGCTTCAAATTAAAAATAAAATACTGACAGTTCGCATCTTACAAAAGTGGAACTAATTGAGACCAACTTTCTTTTGCCATACAGCGAGAGAGGGGAGTCAGAATGGACCCATAAAGATGTGTATACATGTATTTGTGCTCAGCTCTCCAGCCTAGATCTTCATAGCAACTGTCTTAAATGTGAATTCTAGTAAAATTTAAAAAATAACGTAGTAGTCTTCAAAAAAAAAAAAAAAATCTTATTTGTTACCGTCATGTACTTATATATTTTTTTGGATCTTAATTGAACAAAAATGTTAAACACTAGCTTCCCACACACAGTCAATTTACTGCGGGCGGGCAGCACAGCTGGGCCCAGTGACGTACAGTGGATCACAGCTCTCAGTACCTGGCTGCTGTGAGCTGCCAGTGTATTATGTTTATCGCGATGACCATGTACCATATGATTAGCTGTAGCCAATCACAGCATGTCAACAGTACTGTCATGAAAGCCATTCATGACAGTTAACTGTTGCTTATAACCATCATCATCACAGTGATCACTATGGTGACACTGAAGTAGTCTGATAATGGTAAGCAAAAAAAAAAAGTAGTATATATATACGTGATTTGCATTTCTGGGTAGGGGGAGCGTGCGCACGTGTCACCCTACCCACGCCGCTATTGGCTGCTGGGGATGTCAATCACTGGGTCCTAGACGGCGATCATCAGCAGGGCTGTGGGGGGAGAGATCTACCCTGCTGATGATCGCCGGCCGGGACCCATGCTGCTTTTTATCTCTCTGCACAGCAGAGAGATACAAAGCAACGTGTCTCTCAAGTAAAACAGTACACAGCACATAATGTATAAAACACACAGCACACTGTTAACCCCAGATGTTAACCCCTTCCTGCCCAGTGTCAGTACAGTCTCAGTGCTTTTTATTAGCACTGATCACTGTATTAGTGTCACTGGGGATGTCAGCAGCAGTTATTCAGTTCTCATTCAGTGTCAGAATTCCCGCAGTCCCGCTATAAGCCGCTGATCGCCACCATCACTAGTATAAATAAAAATTCCAGTATATATACCACCATTTGTAGATGCTATAACTTTCACATAAACCGATTAATACACACTTATTGGTATTTTCTTTTAGCAAGGACATGTAGCAGAATACATTTTGGCCTAAATTTATGAAGAAATGAAAAAAAAAAAAAAAAATTTATTGGATATGTTTTATAGCAAAAAGTCAAAAATATTTTTTTTTTTCCAAAATTGTCATCTTTTTTTTGTTTATATTGCAAAAAATAAAAAACCGCAGATGTGATCAAATACCATCAAAAGAGAGCTTTATTTGTGGGAAAAACATGACATAAATTTCATTTATGTACAGCGTTGCATGACCACGCAATTGTCCGTTAAAGTAACGCAGCGCCATATTGCAAAAAAGGCCTGGCCAGGAAGGTTGGTAAATCCTCTGGCGGTAGTGCAGTGCTGAATAGCAAAACTGCCCTTGTCATGAAGGAGGTAAAACCTTCCAGTGGTCAAGTGGTTAATATTAGACATTTGAGTCATTTGAGGGTATGTTCACTTGGGTTCTTGAATGTGCGAAGGACTGGCTTTAAAAGTCCATATTGGTAAGAGCTATCATTGTATAGTCAAAGTAATTAGCAGTAATTGCTAGGTTAGGCTGGGTTCACACCTGAGCGTAACAGGATCTATGTTTTTTTGTTTGTTTTTTTGTGGGGGTTCTTTTTTCACCAGGTGTATGTAGAGCGTTGGCTGAACAACAGAATGGGGGGGGGGTGAAGCACATCTGCTGCCCACGCTGGGCACCGCAAGTGCAATGTGCATTTGCAGCGTATTTCCAAACAGAAAACATCTGTTTTGTTGCGTGTTTCAGAAACACCAAGTTTGAATAGAGCCTTGGGTGTTGATTTACTAAAACTGAAGAGTGCAAAATCAGGTGCAGCCCATAGAAACCAATTAGCTTCCAGGTTTTATTATCAAAGCTTAATTCAACAAGCTGAAGGGAGAAACTGATTGGCTACCATATACAGCTGCACCAAATTTTGCACGTTCCATTTTTAGTAAGTCAAACCATAAGTTTAATGATTAAAGAAGAACTCCGAGCAACATTTTTATTTTCCCATACATATCCTGTACTTTAAAACATATCGTTTAACCCTCCTCTTTTTGAATGTTTTTGCTTTTGTATTTGAATTACTTAGAAATCTGATGTTCTAGTTTATATAATTTTCTCTTCTGTGCACTATGCTCTGTTGTTTATTCCAGATTTGTATTTTGAAACCATTCAAAAGAAATTTCAGAATTCAGAAGTCATTCAAGAGAATGAATTGACACCAATGTTTTATCTGTGTGAAACTGAGTCAGATGTGCAGCTGGTGAAGAAATGCCTCCTCAGGTAAAAACATGATTATTTTAGGGTAAAGATGATATTTTTCTTGATGCACCTCCAGCAGGACGTGTAATATAAACTGCTAAGTATGATGTTATCGGAGAGTTTCTGTAATTTTGTTCTGGTATAGTAAAGGAGCAATCTGCCAAATACTGATTACTGTTAATTAAATAGATATATTCCTTGTTTGGGGGGGAGTTGACACTTATTTTATACACTATGGAGAATACAGAAGGAGGGGTAGCATCTTCAGAAAGGTAGAACCAGGCACTGCAACATTGGAATCTCACTACTCGGGGTTTTCAAGACATTTGGGAAGCCTATTTGTGATCTAGCCTGCTGAATGTCCATTTAACCACTTGCCCTCTGGAAGATTTACCCCCCCCCCCTTCCTGGCCAGGCCAATTTCTGTTATTCAGCACTGCGCTATTTCAACAAACAGAGCTTTCTCTTGGTGGTATTTGATCACCACTGGGTTTTTTTTTTTTTTTTTGTGATATAAACGAAAATAGGCCAAAAATTTTGAAAATACTTTCGGTTACATAAAATATCCAATAAACTCGGTTAGTCATAAATTTAGGCCAAAACGTACTCTGCTACATGTCTTTGGTAAAAAAAAATATCCCAATACATGTAGATTAATTGGATTGTGTGAAAGTTATACCGTCTACAAACTAAGGTATAGATACTGGAATTTACGCAGCTTTTACTTTGACTGCCTATCCCATTTCTTGAGGTGCTAAAATGCCAGGGCAGTACAAAGACCCCCCAAATGACCCCTTTTTGGAAAGTAGACACCCCAAGAAATTTGATGAGAGGTATGCTGAGTCCATGGAAGATTCTATTTTTTTTGCCACAAATTTTTGAAAAATGTGTGAGATTTTTTTGGCAGCCTATCCACATACAGGCTGCCAAAATCCAATGACCACTTTCAGGCTTTCAAAGGGCAAATTGCTTCATATCACTTCCTCATCACCTATCAAAGTTTCGAAGGCCCTAAAATGCCAGGATAATATAGCCATCCCCCCTCAAATGACTCCTTTTTGGAAAGTATACAATCCAAGGAATTTGATTAGAGGCATGGTGAGTTTATTGCTGACATTATTTTTGTAACAGGGTTTTAAAAAGAAAAGAAAAAATAAATTTTTTGACACTTTTTGTTTACATGAGAAACCATTTTTTGGCTAGAAAATTACTTTGAACCTCTAAATATTATGTTTTTTTTTTAAAGTAATGGCCCTAGAAAATACAAAGGTGGGTGTTGCAATTTTTTGTGTCACACAGTATTTGCGCGGCAATGTTTCAAACATATAAATAGATACCAAACATGACATGCTGTAAAAATTGCACATGCGCGTGCGACGGCAGCAAGCTACATACATTTTTAATATCAATAGGCAATGCTTTAAAATCCTCTACATGTAACCATATATATTTACATAGGAGGTCTAGTGCTAGAATTACTGCGATTGATCTGACATTCGTGGTGATACCTTACATGGATGGAGCAATATCTGTTTACATACCGACACGAGACCGACGCTTGCTGTCGCCTTTGTGCATGAGCAGGTATTCTTTTCTGAGAAATCTGGGGTCTATTAGACTTCTAGATCTCTTCTCTCCCCCTTAAAGCATCTGATCACACCAAGATCAGTGTGATCTGATGCTTTCCCAGTTTAAAAATGGCGCTGTTAATTTCCGGCGAAATGGAAATGATAAAATGCTCATAGCTTCTAGTTTCTTAGACCATCGAGATGATAGGAGCCATTCTGGTCTTTCTATGGTCGGCCGGCCAAACTGCCGGCTGCATTCTCGGATTCCCCTGTGGGGCAGGAGAGCCCAAGAAATCCTTGGAAGGTGGCGGGAGGGGGGCATCCCTCCTTGCTGCTTTCAGAAATGATCCAGCAGCTAATTAGCTAATAGGATTGCTTTAACATAAAAGCTGACTACCAGTTGAAAAAAACGATACCAGGATTATGCCTGTAGCTGCACTCGTCGTCCCGGTATAACCATTCAATGTCCAGCAATGTTCCAGTATGTTGCCGTTCCTTGTTGGGCATATATGTAATAGCAGAGAACATGGGCATATGATGAATTGGGTCAGTGGACCAATATGACCGCAATTCATTCTTTTTTTTGTAAATGTCCATGTTGAAGTTTAGGCCCAAAAAAGTTTTAAATTCAGAAACTGTGAGTTGTCTGGCAAGAGTTGAATTTTGGTGAGTGGCGATGTATTCTGCATATAAATTTCTTTGGCCCACAATCAATTGATACAAATCTTCTGTGAAAAAACAGCAGAGTGGCTAAATGCTAGTGCTTGCAACAAACGGGGCTGATCCTGCTAACACTGCATTTGTGGGGAAACTATACTAAGGAGGCACTAGTATAGTTCTGTTTATGATCGATATATTGATCCATACAAATACTATACTGGCATTGATCAGTGACCTATAGCATGAGTGTGATGGTGTGCGAGCAATCTAACGCTAGCTGACCCTGGCTGGGAGGGTAGCTTATAGACCTTGACGTTGTCTGATGTCACTAGTGGCAGTGATCAGTGAAAAATTCTATATAATGACACTGTACTAATGGCGCTGGCTGTGTGACAGGGTGATCAAAGGGTTAATAGGGGCCATCAAATGGTTAAATGTACTAATATAACTTGTATGTGCTTTTACTCAGTGCAGTGTTCTCTCTTCTCTCCCTGGGCCAACAGGGGGTTTACCTGGGGGCGCAGGCATGTTCACAATCCAAAATAGAGAGCGACGTAAGGTTACGTCGCTTTGACAGGCAGTCAGTAAGTGGTAAAAAAAGAAAAAAAAAAATCTCAATACAGTATTTTTTATTTTAGTTTAATTTTTTTTACATTTATTTATTTTTTTAAATACTTACATTGGAGTAGTGCAATGTTACCATGGTAACATTGGGTAGGGTGATCAGGGATTTTTTTTTCCCCCACCTTGCTTTGCAAGAGCAAATGAAGTTTATTGCTCAGCAATGCAAAGCTTGCTTATAACTGTCATGAATGAGTTAAGTTCATGACAGTTCAATATAATAGTGATATGTGATTGGTTAGAGCTGGTCACATGGTACAGGGTGCGGTGTTTGACTCCATGGATCATGCGAGAGCTGTGGGCCAATCACAGCTCACCAGGAAGAGAAGCAGAGCTGTTATGAATCAACTTGATCTATAACAGCTTTGCTAACATTGTGATAATGTGATCACCATGTCCTGTTTGATGGGATCTTCATTTTGCTGTGTCCAGTGGTCGTGGGTGGGGAGCGCTGCACAACTCTCCCCTGTGTTAGCACAGCCATAGCGACGTGCCCGTATGTCGCTTTGCCTGCAGCTGCCGCCTGTCCGCAGTACATTACGGGTGGGCGATTAAAGTGGTAGGGCCCTTAACAATAAAGATCTTTCATAACTGTAAGTCTGGGGGCTCTCACATGTGTGGTACGATTGTCAGGTCTGTTTTCAGTTCGAAGTTTCAAAGTAGCTTTTCAGTCGGTAAGCTGCGATTTAGAGGCGGTTCTGATGCAAATTTGTAATTCTGTGTAGCTCTAATTGCAGACGGTTGTTAAGGAGCGGACTGGCAAGCCTGCTGCCATGCCCTTGACAACCAATGACTTATCAGCTGTCAGTGGGGTTTCCCACTGACAGCTGAATGTAGACAAAACAATAAGAAGCGCACCAACCTTGTGCATTACCTCGGTAACCAAAATTTATTAAATGAAGGAATGGTACTCACAAACAGCGAATAAAAACAGGCATGTAAGTCCACCCAGGGACTTCAAAGGCAAGAGGCCAGCGCGAATCCCATCATGGGTATATGTACTCAGTCCAGCTGACGCGTTTCGAAGGTCAAGCCTTCTTCCTCAGAGCTGACTGGACTGAGAGTGCATGCTCCCATTTATGCCCACAGACTGAAATGGGACCCTCCCAAATGGGTTGGGCTGTCCTGGGCCGAGGGGAGGTGCCCGGGTGGGAGGGAGGAGGGGCCCGGGTGTCAACAAAGTACAATAAATAGTCAATAGTCATCCAGATGAATATAAAACATAAAACTAAAATCAAATGTATATAGGAGGTGAATAATACATTGTACATTAAAAAGTGCAGCTTATCAATACAATAGTAGGAATTAAAAATTAAATATTAGTTCATATTAGTATTATATTGTTCGTCAGATGCATAGAATGTATATAAAATATATATAGGAGGAAAAGAAAAAAAAAAAAAAAATGCATAGACACATATATATATATATATATATATATATATATATATATATATATAATAATACACAACAGTGGACATAGAGGAACCTACACAATTGCATAAACTATATATTGTCCGTTAGTTCAGAAAAAGTATAAACATTCATTCACATTACCAAGCCAAGGGATGTTTGATAAAGAATGCAGGGAAAGGATGGTATATTCCACATGGAGTTCTTACATTTGTATATTACTATTCGGCAGCAGAGTGAAAGCTTGTGGTCATGATCAAGGGGCAGACAGGATCCGCCTATGGATCTCTGTATTATTGTGTATTCGGCAGCAGAGGGAGATCTTGTAAACTTAATGTGGCTGCAGACAGGAACAACCAGTGGAGCGCACGCCGCTGTGGAACGCACGCCGCTGTGGCGTGGAACTCAATGCGCAGGCGCGAATCAAACCGCGCCTGCGCATTACGAGCGGCATTCGTACGATCACAGTGGTCAATGCGCGCGCACACCCATAACAGGCCACATCTCCCCAACATCTCCCCACTGGTTGGCTCCCCACTGCAATGTATGTTAAAGGGTTATGGATACATAACAAGACTTGATAATATTGAGGCCAGTTCGTCAGAGTAGATGCCAATGTGATAGCCAAACCCTATGGCTGAAATTCGTCAGAACACACCATAATAGTTAATTATAAAAACACACCATTTTTTTAGAGGAGAATATGCGATAAAATTAATTAAAAAGATGATTGAGTACAGATCAATAAATAGTACAATA